GCTTTAACTCTTCCACTTAACATCTTCCTTACAGACATTACTGTGCAAATGCCGGGGAGAAAAATGACATGAGTGCTACACAAAACTGGCCTTAAAAATGTAACCTGTCATCAGCCGGGAAAGACTTGTGGCTCTGGGACTGACTCCATTCTACTTCTCTCTGTTTCAACATTCACAGGAAGAGAATAATGTTTATTTCAACAGTTTTCATTATTGAACCTGACAGTCTTTTCTACAGTCCCATGCTCAGGCAGCTATTAACTTAAAAGGCAACTTGGAAAAGGAGTTGTCTTCGACTCCTTCATGCTGCTAATTTTGTTCCCAGTTCAGCTTTTCTTTCTTTCTTTCTAATCTTTCTGATACGCAGGTTTCATAAAGGCACAAAATAGGTCTCCCCACACAGACAGAAGAAAAAGAAAGTGTGAATATGCCATGTATAGTAGTACAACTGGAAGACTTCTGTGTGTCCTTCCAGCAGAAGGATTTTTCTTTTACTCCCTAACGAAAAAGTGATGGGAATGCTGGGCCAGCAACTAGGGGCTTCAGCTAACTGGCACACTCAAGGTTAAAGGGAGCAGGATTCACAAGACTGAGATTTAACCCATTTTTCACTCTCTGGAGATAGTTCTCAAAGCCTAAGCTTAGATGCCATGGGAAACTCAGAGAGACTAAGATGGCTTTTGTATTATCAGTGGAGACAATACAATACTGGCTAGAGCCTCTCCAGAGTTGTTTTTATGCCTCTCTCCATTAATTACTAGTGTAAGAGAACACAGTAACTTAAAAATATTCTATTACTAGCAATTACTAAGCTAGCAATTACTACACTTAAATATAAACTCACATGCATGGAGGGAGTTTCTCATCAGAAAATTGAAGACAGTATTTATTTCATTCTCCTTCCTTCCTCCAAATGCCCTTTTATTTCGTTGCCTTGACTGCAGACTCTTTGAAGAGACTGTCTTGCAACATGTGCATCTCTCTTTCTAACAAGATTCTTAGCAACAATGACATACAGTTCTTTATATCCTCAGTACTGATTCACCTAAACACGCTTGCTGGCCCACACAATGCAATAAAAGGAGCGATAGTCCTTTCCATAACACCACAGATGTATACGGGACTTGCTCTGGGTTAACACCATGTAACTTTGATACTGGTGACAATGGTCTGACTGGCATCTAGACAGTTTGGCAGCCAAGCAGAGCTTGGTCCCTCCAGAGGAGGGATGAGGATCATCTGCTTGCACTGAAGTTGGATTTCAGTTCAAACAGATAAACTTGGTTTCCAACTGTTAATCCCTCGTTCCTCATAATTGTGTTTACCTTTGCTGGAAATAAAACAAATAGGAAGGCAACAATCAGATCCAGTTCCATAACGCCAGCATCAGAGCGATCCTGGACACATTGCTAATTTATCAACAGCTTCAGGAAATACCTTGGTTAATTCTGTAGGAACTCCCATTGTGAAAATCTTTTTGGATGCCCTGGAAAGCAGCTCCTTGGCTGGCAAGTCAAATAATGCTTCCCTTGCCCTGCAAATTAGCTGGATACCCAAAGGAAATTACTAATCTTTCAGCTCAAAACTAACACGCACACAAGTATAATGAGCACTGTTTTCCTTTGTGGAAGAAGGCTTGAATGGAAGAATGGCTTGAAGAGCCATTGTTTGGGTGAAGCTCTTCTGTGTCATCGCCTATACCGTTCCTATCACAACACTTTTACAAACCAGCTATTTCATTTATTATGCTTTTAACCTGGTTTGAAACTTCTGCAAGAAAGCAAATACAAAAATACATTAAAAAAAAAGAGTATTAATTTGTCTTATCTGCCTCCACAATAATAATTTAGCACTGCAGAATTTGAGTATCTACTCTGTAACATCAAATGCCCCTTATATATTTGGGGGTTTGTTGGGAGAAGTGTTGCAGAAACTCCCAAGACCCCTTGAAGAGTATTGAACATCTCCAAGGCAGAACTCCACATGTCAAAGCATCTCTGTGACCTGAATTTCTCTGGAAGAAAATCTTAAAGCAGTTTCTGCAATAAAGCCAAAAGCGTAGAGCAACAGGAACAGAGGAAGCATGAGGGCTGTCATTTCCTCTAAGAGCAGCAAGATAATAACTCCTGTTAGCAACTCCCAGAGATACAGACGGTTCCAGTGGGCCATATGTGACTCTCATTACTTTTTGTGCCTGAAAGACCAGATCAGTCAACACAATATGAAGGAATTAGCTCCTGGCACTATCTTGTTTGGTGTGTGTGTAGGAGAGACAAACTCCAGTGCTTTTACTATGCATTTTCATCTCCATAAGTTTCACTGCTGTACTGTACATCAGAGAAGTGGCAAAAGAATTATTAGCTTTAAAAAGCCATAACCATGATGTAATCAAATCCCAAATGCTGGATCAACAGTTTCAGTTACAGATAATGACCATTCCTAATCCTTTGTTTTAATGACAGCTATTCTGAAAGGTCCAGCAATGCTGACACCTCAAATGGCTGGATTATAGGTATAAAAGTGTAATTAATGACAAATACACCCACACTGTCTGAAAGGATACTATCACCTTTATTGCAGTCTAGATTCTGGGAAGTTCAAAATAAGCAAAAGCTTGAATCATTTAATGACTACGCTTACAAAAAAGCTCTTGTAAAACAGCTGTTCTAACCCATTTTCCAAAGTTCATTCCAACCTGCTGCTTTCAGGGTATTTTTTTGTTTGTGTGTTTAAGTATATTTGGTCTGTAAAGGGATTAAAAGCTCCATGATTTTAATTCCCTTTTCAGTCAATAAAAACTCAGTGGGAGAGAGGCAGGAGGAAAGAGAGTAGGATGCCTTTCCTGTTACAATAGAGAGACTTGGGAGACATGGGTTCAGTGCCTGCCTCTGACACGAATTTCCTGTATGACCTCAGGCAAACCATTTGGTGTTTCTGTTATTTATCTGTAAAGCAGGGATAACCACTATCCCAGACAGGGGTTGCTTAGATAACATTTATTAATGTCAGGGGTGCTCAGAAAGTCACATACTAGATTTCTACTGACCACATACCCAAACTCAGGGGTTGAAATGACCCAGGTCATGCCAGTGTATCATCAGACATCTCATAAAACCATACTTGCTTACTACCACTCTTCAGCCTATAATGCAAATAGGTCTCACAACAGCAGTCTGACATTTCCACAAAGACAAACTACAGAGTAGAAGAAAGACATCAAATAATGTGGGAGAAAATGCAACCTGTTGTTGGGGAAAAGGGATACAAACCTTGCAAGTATTTATTAGCACAGTGCGCAGCACCACACCGCACAGCTGAACCTCCTTTACATAAGAAATCAGAGGTACAACAGCAATGAAAAACAAGTTAAGTGGAAGATTTAAGGTTTTTTGCCTTGTTTTTCTAACAGCTATTAAATACCATAGAGTCCATCACATCCTTATCATTGTAACTTAGGGTTCTGTGTAGAAATTATTACAAACTACCCCTTGAGATTTTGTCTTTGCCCAGTTGGTGGGCAGTGTACACCTCAGCTAATTCAAGAGTACAAAACTGGTGTCTTGTCTAAGACAATTTGCCCAGACTTCTGGAATAGTAAACAGAGAGAAATAACGAATGCCCAGAAGTAATTTATCACTCCCTAAGGTAGGCGGCCTGAGTTTTAAGACAAAATCTGTTAAGGAGATTCCTACCTCTATCCTGCTGCTCTGAACACAGACAGCACACAGAGACCACAAAGGGACAAGGAAACAGGTCACGATCCTTTGACAGGCAATGTTTCAAAGGGAGGGTAATATAAAACTGGACTAAATAAAACATTAAAATGAAATGTCATGGGGAATGAGGCATAGGATGAAGAATTAATTCAGTCTAGTTGGACAATTAGTCTATACAATACTTGTGTTTCATATAATATCCCAAACCTGTTTCTCAGTGATTTTGTCTTTTGTGCCTATCTGTAAGCCATATGTGTCTTTATCTCATACCTTTCAACAGCACAAATCTTGGAAACCTGCTTAGAAAGGTCTTATTGGATCTATGTTTACAGAGATTCAGTGACACAGCTACTTGAATATAAAGGATGGTAATATTTTTCAGCCAAAAGGCTAGAAAAGTAGGTAATAAAGAAATAAAGTATAAATATATATATGGTATAAATATTTAAATAAATAAATTATACTTTCTTCTTCAATAAAGCAAGTATAATACTTCTTTTCAAGTAGCCCGAAGAGCTGGTTCCATCTTACAAAGACAGATTACTCTGAATTTCAGCAACAGATTTACCCCAGTAGTGAGGTTTCCCTCTCTTGGCCACCACAGAATAAATGATGGGCTTTTAGCAGTTTAACAAAAGCTTTGAAAGTAATAAATAAATATTAGAAGTGAAATCTAAGAATGTGTCTCCTTTACCACAATTTGTTGTTTCTTTGCAATTGACAGGAAACCATCTTTTGAAATACATTGTGTTGAAAGAATAACTTTCTCTGTTACTTACATTTGTTAAAAGAACACTCAAAAGGAACAGATTATAACACTGACTATAGAAAAAAAAATAGATATTGATACTGTATTCAGGACTAGCTAGTGCTTTTGCAGATAACCACAGAATAAAATGGGGAATGCAAGTCATCTTAGTAATATATCCTGCTGATATTACATACACCGTTTAATCAGAGAGGGCTGATTAAAACTCAGTCCTCTTTGGAGGTGTGACTCAGTGAAGCATTCTCCACATTTACTTCAGGATTAGCCTGATCTAGGTTTACACTGCACTGTAGGAAACCAGGCACACACAACCATCTGCTTGCCCTAGGTGAGGGACAGCAGTCAATAGCGGGGTGGGCTCAGCTTTTTATGATGACCTGGCCAGAGACACAAAGAACCGCTCCTTACCCAAAAAAAGCAACTGATTCATCTAGTTCTGCTGGGTTTCTTTTGTTTCAGACATCAGTCAGCTCTCAGTGTCTCTCTGGACTCACAACACATCATAACATACTCACCATCATATGTTGAACATGAAATATTTCGGCTCCAGTGGCAGAGAGGCGGTTTGGAAATGAAATGTCAAGAAAAGCTCCAGGGAGAGTGCTTGGCCCCGCATTGTAAACCTGTAAGATAAAATAAAGAAATAAAATAAAGTCTAAAAATTACACATATGACTGGATATAAATGGGAAGCTACTGTAGAACCAGAGCTGAGAGTATAAAGTTGAAAAAAATCAAATACTATGCAATTTGTTCAATGTCTTCTTAGTAAGATATTTAAGATCCCTTCCAACTCAAACCATTCTGTGAGTCTGTGTAACACTTCTTTTGTAAGTATTAGGATGAAGGCAAAGGTTTAGCTTATCTTAGAGTCTTTAAGCACAACTCATACATCAGTGAGAAGCAGTTTTGCAGGATAATTACCAGTCAACAATGCAAATAGAATGACACTTCTACCTGATATACAAAGACACTGCTAGAGTGCTTTGTAACACCATCAATAAGACCATGAGAAATGCTGCTGTCTCAGTTAACATTCTCATTTTCATCTGGTAACCACTGCATTAGATTCAGCATATGTTTTCCTTATGAAGCAGAAGCCAAAGTAATGATGATTGTGACTACCGGACTGCGGGTTTGCCGAGTTGCCAGGAAATGCACGTGAACAACTTCCATTCAAGTTCTGGGGTTTCCAGTTAAATGCAACTCTTAGTGGAAAACATTCACTTTCATTCAAAGTCCCACAAATTTTCAACAAAAACTCAAGGAATTTCCAGTTGACCACTGAATCGCATCAAATGAAAATTCCAGAATCTATGGGGTTTTGCTGCAAAGAAATAATTCCTGGAAAACTTTCAATGAAATTAAGTTTTCATGTCTATCTATGTTTGTTGTTGGTTTTTTTAGGAAAATATTTCCTGGTTGCTTTTAACAATACACATATAACTGCATATAGTTAAAAAATATAGGCCCATTAGAATATTTATCAACACTGAGACAGTACTGTCAGAAGATGTAGCAATCAGTTGTGTAACATCCATATATTAAACACAACAGGTTTTCATTCTTCAAACCCTGTTTATATTTGAAGAAATGCCTGACTGATAGAGAGAATCAGCTCACAATGCCAAATCCTTGCAAAAACCCTGAGGCTCCAAGCAGGGGGAGAAATCCCACTACAATGGAGTATGATAAATGCCGTATGAAATACAAACATAATGCCTCATGTTAGACATTTTAAAAAACTTGATTATCTTGCTGAGATCAGATATCAGAGCTAATGCAGAAAAGGCATTTTCATTGCACATCTTGTTACCCCTTCCCCAAAATGATGCATAGATCTGTTTTCTTATTAACATTGGACATGGTAGAGATTTTCCCATTTAAAACCCACTATAAAGCTCCATATTTTTGTAAATCATCTCTTTTTCTTGGTTAAGGAACTATTACTTTTCTCCATCTGGAGAAGTTTAATAAATGGCAGGCAAATCATTAGAAACAATTAAGCAAGCAGTGATGCAAACCATGCTTTGCCCATTATGAAACTCTACCCTTTCTCTTTGACACACACAGTTATGAGGTTTACCGCATTACTGGAGAGCAGATCTGTCACTTGTTACAGTTCAATTTTCTACTTCTATGTGGGGAAAAAAAATTACTCATAGGGCAACTTGTAAGTGTGTTAATAATAACACAAGATAAGAGATGAAGCAGGACAAATGCTGGCCCTGCCGATATATAGATGCTGTCTCCTTTACCTGTTATCACTTTGTTTTATTGAAAATATCCATCTAGTTAAAGCACCAGAACATCTGTTCTTTATCAGGTTTTAACCAATAACTGGCTGGGGGGGGGGGGAGAGGGGGAAGGGAAGACCTATAAACCCACAAGAATGAAATCAGAATCACAAGAATTAATAGCCTGGTTCACAAAAGCTTTAATGTCCTCAAATCCTGCTTTCACTCCTTCTCAGTAAATAGCTAAGGGCACTGCATGACAGTGGGGGCTTAATTGCTCTGGACCACAGTCTGTCCACGGAGGCAGACATGTGTTATTCATTATGAGCTGAGTGGCATTCATGCCTAGGAGAACAGAAAGGGGAAAAAAGGTGAAAGACTGTTTTTCACAATAAATGATTTCCCCCCACCTCAGCATGATTTATCATTCCCTAGTTCCATCTAGCGGTCAAAAAGTGCTTGTAATAGATACAGTCACAGCAGCAAGACAAGTTCCTTTGGCCTGCATGACAAGAGTTTGTTATAACAAGCCATCCATATACTTTGCCATATCAGGAACTCATCTAACTGCCATGTGAAATGTAATCTATAGATAATACTTGAATAACACTGCGATGCCATGAGATGTTTAAAGAAACCTCCTCACACACTTGTCTTTTTAGTGTCCCAGTCTCTTCCCTGTACTGTATTCTTATCAGCAATCCTATAAACATTTTCATACCGGGGGCATATAGCAAGTCTGAATCCTTGCATGTGTATATGTTTGTTCTCATGGATAAAAGCTGCCCACTCCTCAACGACCATGCTACTAAAAACAGTTACTCCTCCCTTTTAAATCTGCAACTACATCCAAAATGTAGCACTTGAGTAACCAAAGCTCTTTACTGAGAGCATGATGAAAGGTAAAAGAAAAACAAATGGAAGTATCTTCATTCCTGTGGAAGTAAGATACACTACTTGCAATTCTTGATATAATTCTTGATATAAGAAAACACACCACCCCTTCACACTGTACATATGGCAGCCAATCAACAATGCATCGGACAGCATACTGTGATTCGGAAACATGCCCCAAGGACCATACGTCACTCAGAATAAAAGAGATACAAAACCAGAAAGAGCTGTCAAGCAGGAAAGCAATCAAAATAAGGATCAGTTTTACCTGCAGTGTGAAGTTGAGAGACTGGAAATGACATTCATGGTTTTCCAACTGAACAAAGTTGGACGCTTCCACAGAATCACCATAGAAAAATGAAGTAGGGAAGACTTCTCTGAAAGGTCAAGACACAAATTTGGTAAGCTGTGTTTGTCACCAAAATTAAATATACTTGTGGCAAGCTGAATTGCACCCCTTGCTTTCAGGTCTTACGAAATTCTATGAGAGCATTTAATATTAATTTATTATTTGTGATTTAATTTTCTCTTGACAACACTGAACTACACAAGTGGCATCTCAACTGACCCGGGTTAACATCCCACCACCAAAGCAGACTTCTTTTGATTACTTTCTCTCTTTTTCTCCTTTCCTATCACAAAACCTCTTCTCCAGGGCCCCTGAAATGGATGATTTCTGAGAGTCCAATAGCTTGTGCAATACAGGAAATCATTGCACTAACAAGTTAATCTGAAGAAACTGTTACTAATAGGAATACTTTCAGTTGAGTATCCACTAAAGTAACATTCCAATTTTATCTAGTATTTACATAGCATTGCAGGAAAAACCCACTTCATTAATTATCTGAGCTTCACTACCTTTATGATTAACAGATGGTTAAAGGGAAGAGTAGAGGGGGATATAACTTTCAACTACAGTGGCACAGGCCAAGTCTCCTCAACTACTCTTATCATCTTATCACAAAGTAAAAAACAGTAGGGTTTTATCAGAAAAGACTTGGAGGCACAAACAGTACCTGGAAACCCTGCAGAAGAAGACTAGGAGTGCTTTAAGCATCCTTTGTACGTCCTTTTAATCTGGGGCTGCTGTACTGATTTGAAAAGGTCCTAGTTTCAGGACAAACCTTGGTGAGGGACTGCCTAAAATTCTGCTTCCTTCCCAGTTTGTCCTTTTGGGTCAGAGTTTTTTGTGACAGGATTTTAAGCCTGTTTAGGTACATTTCCTTTTTTCCTGCCTGCCTCCTATGCCAGAAATTGCTAGGGAAACAAGAAGAGACAGATTTATTCATCCCATTAACAGTGTTGTGCCAGAAGGCTCCTCCCAGACATGGTACAAGCCCTTCCGGGCTATTTATGAGCAGGAATGAAGTTTGCTCTTGTAGACTGAAATGCAGGATAGCTAACAAAAGTAACTTTAAAAATAGACTGTCCCAAAAAGAGTATTACTAATATTACCATGCGTGGGGATATTGTGCCCTCCAATGAACCCAACTTTTTTCTGGTAGTTCTGTGAACTTGAATTAAATAAGCCTTGTCTATGAGAAAGAATAAAGTAATCTACATAATCAGTTGGGTGGGGCTTAGAAATTTAGAGACCTTGTGCTTTACAAATAGTATGTTATGAAGAGAGAGAAAAGAGCCCCATTTTTATCAGTTTTTTTGGCATGCAGTACTCTGTAGGCAAGATCTAAGGACACAGATGAAAGCATCTGTATCTGTAAAGCTGTACAAAAATCCATCTTTATCAAAGCATCAAGAAGCAAGGGACACAGAGTTAAGTTTCTACACAATCTGCAACTATGAAAGCACTCAAAAACTTTCAGAACATGCTGCTGAGGCTTTACTGGCAATATAGAGGAGATTTTTGTCCTTGCTAGTCATCTTGTGAGGTCTAACAGCGCACTTCATTTCTCTGAGCAAGCTTAAGCATGTCTTCTGCCCATTCTGACTATTGTGTCAGTAATTAGGGGATTTTATTTCTATGTAAGAAGGGAGGAAATCAGCTTCACGCAGCTGATTTTACCCAGCTTTTCAGCCAAACCACATGTCAGTGCAGGTATTGTTGTTCCTTCATATGTAGCATGCTAGTCAAAGGAACCTTTGACTTCTACTGATGCTAAACTGCACTGGTCATTTTGACAATATGTATTCCCTGGGGATTGTCATAAATGGTGGTTAAACCAGACACTGACCTCTTGGAGACACTACTGATTATTTTTTGCTTCCCCAGTTTCTTAATGAATGTCAGCTTTCTCAATGTATGTGGACTCTAATTCACCACGAGTGACCAGGTCCCCCATTATAACTCAAGCACAGTCTATGCTAGAGGACAGTCTGTCTGTGGGGACCAACCACAAACCATTTATTCTACACTTAAGATTGTGGGGTGCAGAAGTGGAAGGGAAAACCCCTGAGTACAAAGGCAGTAGGAACTCATACATGAGCAACCATGGGGAGAGGACAGTGGCTACGTATTACACAAGTAATTCAGTCAAAGGGTGATTCCTTAGTTGATGCTCAGATGCCTCACACACTTGGGACCAGAGGAAGTGGTAAAATGAGCAGAAGCAGAAATGAATTCTGATTGTGAAATTAAACAGAAAGACAAACAGCTGGACTCCACCAAGTTCCTTAAAATCCCAGAACATTTGACCCTAACCTTTGTCATGGTGATGGATTCTCAACCATATCCTTAAAGACATGACCTAAGGAACAAGATGTGATTTACTTGCTCTCGTTTTATTTTAAGGTCCATCATACCTACAGAATCACATGAATTAAAGTCTGATAGTTACTACCAACGTCATGGTAACTAATTAGCATTAAATTAATGGAGTTTCTCTAAGGAGTGAGAAAGAGGTACAGTGTTGGAATGAAGGGCATGACAAATAAAATTCCCAGATAATGAATGAGTTTGTCTGTATGACCAGAGTCTGGGAAACAGGGAAAAAGCAACAGTTCTGCTACATGTAAACAAAGGGAAGAATTCAGTTTTTCACTGGAAGAGACTCAGATGTTATTGTTAGGATTATCATTATTTTTGTTGTTTTCATCTGGTGACTGGTACTTACCCATTGATAGATGAGTCCACTTCATGCATCAGGGGCACCGACAGGGTTAGGGTGTTATCATGCAGAGATTCAGTGCGTTCTAGGTTTCCACTGTGAAAAAAAGGAAAAATAAACATGCTATAAATTGACAGCCTTTGCAATATATCACACAGTTTCACAGCTACCATCTCTCTGCCTTCCTACCCTGAGCCTCTATATTTGAGTGATGTCAGCTCCTTAAGAAGCCTCCCAAAGATTAAAAGCTACATTTGTTCACCCACCTTGGAGAGGGCACACACATAAAGGATGTGCATTGTGGTTGCTCCTGTGTAGCTCATCGCGGTGTGACACGACGTGGCTCACACCAAAAAACCTATCTTGGAGCAAAGTGCGCATTCAAATGGCAGTGTGAAACTACAGCAGCCATCATGCACAGTGGGTAGAAGCAAGGACATTTAGACTCCAATGCAAGAGGTGATTCTGTCCCAGCCTGACTGCAAATCAGTTTGGGAGACATACATACAACCCCACAGAGGGTCCTGACTTTCCATATACCTGCATTGTACCACGGCATCAATTTGGTGCCGCTACAAGCAGCTTTTCTGGGTGAGACCCTCATACTAAACTGGACAGAACCTCTCAGCAGTTCCATCCCCTCTTTCTGTACTTAGCTGTCACTTCTACTTTACATTTTCAAAGGTAGCTACCTCAACTGGTCAAAAGCAGAAGGAGGAAAGAGAAAAGTGTGCAATCATCTCTGATTTGAGTCAGTTTATTTCAGTGTGAGCACTTTTGTATGAAGTCTGTGAAAGGTGCCTGTGAAATGCATGTCCAACATGCAAACCTGTAATTATTCCAACTCTGATGGTGAGTCTGCTAGGTGAGTGACAGCTCAGAACAATAATCTTGAGAAGTATGTTACATATCTTTCTAATTTCTCCAGCAGTGACTTTGGAATCACTTTTGCCTTGCAATTCATTGGATTTACTCACAAATCAAGCTGGCAAAGCGAAAGATATGATCCTATTTATTTGAGGACAGTATCACTGAGGCAACAGCAGGCAGTAACATCCCAAGTGATACCGTGCAGATGATGAGTTGCTCAGATTACAGAAACAGAGCCTGCTGGCTACATACATGCATAGATCGAGCTCCGCTTTCTGTAACTGACACATTGGCCATGACTCCTAATAAAACTATGGCCCAGATGGAAAAACCCACAAAATCCCAGTCCCAGGAAAAAAACACTTAATAAAAGGTTTTCCTCTGAACAGGCTTGAAGAAGAGTCCAAATTGGAGACATTTCTCATCCAACACAAATACCGAGATGATACCATGGTGGCAAACAAAATAAGCAAGTAGAATTCTATACAAGGTTCATGGGTACATGCTCATCTGTTTCAAATGGATCAAAGGTACTGTCAGAAAAGGAGAATACAGCGCAGTGAATCTAGCTCTAGAAAAATAGCTCACACCATGAAGCGCAGAAAAGGCTTTGGAGCTTTGTTGCTGGTTTTCTAAGCGAAAAGAGCAAATGTAAGGTAATATTCAGATCTCTGTCCAGTTGATCTCTCCTACTGTTGAACCAGTCACTTGTTACAGGTACTACTGCCAGAATTGCAGCTTCAAGGAACAGGCTTAAGTGGCCTTTTGAAGGGCAAAGCTTACTTTCCCATGACAGCATGTCACAGGTTTTCTGTGTCCAGCCAGTTCAGCCAGACTAGCTTTGGTTTTGTGTGGAAACAATGTCCCCAGTCATTGCAGTCTGGCCACAACACAGACACTTCCTCTCCATTTCTTTGTCACCGACTTTACCCCAAGGCTCCCTGCAATTCTTGTGGTAGAAAGATTTTATTATCCTTATTTCACAGCATGGGAATTGAGCTATTTGCCCAAAGTCACAGAGAAAATTAGGGTAATCAGCACTGGGACATGCACTGTTGTCTTTGGAGGTTCAGCTCAATCCTTCAAAACACAACTGTCCTCCTGCCCATCCTTCTGAAATGAGAAACTTGCTCCTAAACCCCTCTGAGCATTCAGACTATGTGTACAAACTACTATTTATTTCTTTGCTCCATCTAAAGGCACTGACTAACCCTTCTCACTGGTGGGGCACAGAAATGTGAGGAGTGAGATTACAGAGGAAATCCCTGTGCTATCCAAGGCAGGGAAATGAGTGGCACAATCTGGAAAACACTGGATGGGCAAACTTAAAGCACTGCAGACCCATCTTTGCACCAGCTGGCATTCACCTAACAGACACTGATGCATCTCCCTGACCTAGAAGCATCACGAGGCCATCTGAACACACTATGGACTCCTCCTCACGGAGAATAAAACCTCTCTTACGTGCAGGACATGGTCTTGCCTCTCTAATACGAGGTCTCATTTTCAGCGTTTCATACCAGCACCACGTGCCGCAGGATCTTGTTCCCACCTACAGTTGCTGCTGCAAGAGGAGGACTGTGCTCTATGAGAGCAATCACTCAGCACCTGCTACAGATTCTCTCTCCTCTCCAACTACTTGGTGAGGCATCATCAAACTGGGGAGGAGAATTCAGGCTGGAGGCCCTGGTTTTGACACAGGAGAGTATGAATTTGGCATACTCACACAGTAAGGGAATCAGGAAAAGGGAATCAGGAACTAATCTCACACCTAGCACATCATGGCCCAGGTTAACACAGCTGTGCTATCATCAGTTATTCTGTTTCATATACACCCTGACAATGCTTGTGACCGAATCACCCATAGAGTCTGCATCTTTGTGACAAATCATCTTAGGAGGCACAGAGAATGTGTCACACCTCATATTCTGCCCAAGATAAAAATCACTATGCATGCACACTTGGCATCACCCTACTTCAATGCCTGCTCCAAGTGCCCTTGGGGAAATACCCTATTCAGCTGTTTCATGCAGTCTGTCATAGATCACTGAAGATCCATAGGGGGAAAAAATAGACATGCAACTTTGCAAACTGTCAGTGAGATTCCTGACCATCTGATGAAAGCATTTCTCTTTTTTGGTTTGCATCCAAACATGCTTATTTCATTCAAATGCTGGAACAAATGTGCCTGCCTGGTGCTGATCGTCAACCGCAGCTGAGCTGAGCTTGATACAGGGCCCAAAGGGATGGGCACAGAAACACGAAGGCCTTCCATTTGAGAGAACACAAACTGCTCCTTCAGAATTGCAACTGCTTGGAAGAGAAAGCCTAAGTATGATCCTACCTCATTTTTCAGGAAGCTGTGTCACATGGTTCCTCTATATTACCAAAATGCATGCATTTAGCCCCAGAAATTTAACCTCATCTACCGCACATACACATTTACCACTAATATCACAGAACTGTCAAGCATATGCAATGCACACTTCATGTAACAAAGGATATTCAAGTCATCAAGAGGTACAAAGGTTCCCTTACCTTTGTGCAGTGACAAGGAAGGTAAGTGTTTCTTCCTGCCCAGACAAGTGGCTCGTATCAAAGATCACACTGAAGTCATACTGTGCAAAGAAAAAGCAGTATTTAGAGACAAATATAGTTTCAAAATGCATTTATTCTGAAATTTCCCATATATTTTACTGGCCTAGCTGTACAAAAGTAGCGCATTTAGATACACGTAAGAGAGCTTCCTCTACTGTAGTGTAGCTTTTAAATCTTAGCAATTTCATCTCTGATTTTTCCTTTATTGTGAAAGGGCCTTTACTGGAATTGTCATTCAAAGGAAGAGGAGATCTCTTGAGGAGATCATCTGCCAGGGAAAGGGTCTTCCAGTATAAGAGGATCTCTACCCGAAACTACCTCAGCACTAACCTTTATGTTGTTACTTGCTGGTGAAGAGATACTTTGAGGGGAATAAGGATCATGCCTCAGGCGTGCACAGAGACTTGGAGCGACTAGCACAAGCTAAAGCTTTATGGCCACTCACCATAATGGATAAAGTCAGGTGTTCATTTTGAAAAGAGAATCTATGATGACCACCGCAGCACTACTTTAACTTCTCCATGCAGTAACTTTTCTACCTAACTCCAGAACAGATTTTGGCAAAGTGAAAGTTTCCAAATTTGTGATTTCAACAGCTTGCTGAAAAAAAATGAAAATAACCCAACTATGTGATTCTGGAGCAAAAACCTCAGATTATTCTATTCCAGATAATATTTTGCTACTGCACTTATTTTGGCCATTTCATTTAAAATCTTTTTAAATGCTTCAAAAGAGCATACTACAGTCAATAAAACTCGTAAACAAAAAAAAATCATGTCAAGTCAAAGGTCAATTCAAATGGAAAGAATTAGGTTTTGTAGTTGAAAACTTCTGAAAAAAATCAGACTGATTTTGTTCAGGTCATCCTGAAGTTATACCTCATCTTCTCACCCTTCTGGGTTGGTCATTTGTACAGCTTGGTTTAGTGACAGAAAGAACACGGCTGAATTTCTAAACATCATCAGAGGGTTCATCTTAGTCTACCAAACAAAATCTTGCAAAGCTACCAGGAGTCTGTAATATGAAAAAGTCCCTAAGGCATTTTCATTGTAATGTGTACAAATTCAGTTGCACTTTAATGTAAGAGAAGACAAAAATAAAAACAAAATAAAGCAACTTAAATAAGACAGAGTCCTGTTCTGATTTTCTGCAGAAGTATGCACGGTTTTCATAGTTGCAACTATGGATCATTTTTGAAGAGAACTGTATTGTAGTGCACAAGGTTCTGTCATTGGCTCTATCTGGTGGGAAAGAGGACACCTACCCTCCATAACTGTGCAAGGCTTGGATATCTTGTGTTAGAAAGCTAGCAAAAGTATCAGTCACAGACATTTAACAGAGCAGTTGCCTTTCTGGCCACTCCTTGGAGACAAAGAGGTGACTGGACCATCACTCTGCAAATGGAAGCATCACAACATTACCCTAGATTTCGATCTCATGAAAGGAAATCCCACGCTGCACTTGAGGAAATCTGACTCAAGCAACTCACAGGCAATGCCCAGCTCCTCCTGTAAGAAAATAAAAAAGACCATGAGATGATAGATTTGGGGAAAAAGAGGATTACTAAGAAATGCCATTGTGATAAAGTACTGTAGAAAATGAAACATTTCCCACCATAGCACTGTTATTCCCAGAAAACTAATACTCATTGAATAAGGAGAAAAGCAGTGCTGTGCTTCCTTGCTCCACCTTAGCTGGACCAGCACCAAGAAGACAATCATCAGAACATTGCTTTGAGAGACAGACCATAGGGAAATACTGTGTAACTAAACACGTTAGGGTCAGGGGTTCAGCCCAAGTTCCTGGATAACCAGACAGCCAGCTGTTATCCCTGTTTATCAAAAGACAGCTTTTAGAATACAGTTCACCAAGGTAGATTTTCCAGGTACCAACATCATAAAGAGAGAACTGTGTTAGGCAACAGTGACCAAACCATGACAAACACACATGCTGGAGAAAACATTAATCTGGTCCTGGTGTCAATTGCTGTGCTGATCTCTTTCTGTGGTCCATGGGATAAGCCACGTTATCAATAATACAAATGAAAAAGGTTGGAGCAGCTCTATCCTGCTTGACTGGTGACTCCACTACAACAGGAATACTTCTGTTGAATGAAGAGTGTTTCATTGGTCCATAAAGAAAGTATCTGGCTCCAGGCTAGCATGCTCTCATCTCCAGGTTATCAGGGAACAGTTTTTATGCTCTGCCATTGTGGACGAGTTCATCTCACTAAACTTTAGGAGTGGGATTTGGCTCCAGAAACTGATATGCATTTTCAAGTGCCTACACAGCAAGTGATAGCTATGTGATCTAGGCATCATTGCTCCCATCATAGTCAATGGATGTAAAAAACAGTTCAGCAAAACCAAATGCAGATGTTTAGACCGGGCTGTATACCTCTTTAAGCCCTACACTGAAGCTATGGAATTGATGTCATACAGCTACAATATAAATGGCTAGATTCAGACAACTGAATCTAGAAATTAACTCTATTCTAGACATGTAGCCGAGAATGTCTTAGTTAAGGTCATGCAATTTATTTGACCTATTTTTAGTATCTTCAGCAGACTGCAAAGCCCCTGATCTGCCTTATTTTGCACATTTCCCAAATCACTTCAAATATGAGTTCTGATTTAAATATGCATTTAAAAGTTACATGGGTACCATTCTCAGCTGGAACAATCACATGTGGAAGCAGCTTCCTGAACCACAGACTTGGGTTATAGGCATCCCTAGGAAATGCCTCTGGGCCTTTCATGTGCTAACACAAGCACTTAGTGCTCTACAGATGTTACTATTATCCTAATTACAAGTCTGACAGCATTCAGACTCTTGATCTTTTAACTGCTTCCTGTGATATCTGAAAGACAAGGTCTCCTTTATCTTCAAAATCATGATACAAATCAGGGCCTACATTTATAGAGAATTATAAACATAATGCTACCGTTCTTATCTGACTCAGACAGCATTTCACTGGTTTCATATGAAAAGAAAATAACACAAGGAGAAAATTAATGCATGTTTGGAGATTCTGATGGTGTTGATATTACTCCAGTACTACTCCAATACCAGAGCAATGGCCTCCACATTCAGCTTCTTTATGGATTTGTTTCCTTGCAATCCTCAGTAGGCTTCTACTTCCAGAAATACAAAAGATGGCATTGCCCAACAAATCAAGTATCTAACTTCAGTCATACAAAGCTGCTGTCCCCATGCACTGTGTTAGAGTTTTTCCTCCATTTAACATAAAGCAGCAGAGTTTCATGGATGAAGCATCCCCTTCCCTTTTCCTCTCGGCAGTCTGTGAGGATCTCCTGTTCTATGCAAGTGACCAAATGAACACAAACTCTTGGCAGCTGCATAACCAAAAAGAAAACTTCACAGCTGTTTCCTCTGGGAACATTCTTGGTTCTGTGTTGTTCAAATGTCCCTTGTTGTCTAACTGTGGCAACCTATGAACTTCCTTTCACCAACTCCCAGACTCTGTTCATTCAAGTGGCGTTTTTCTATTTACATAGCTGTCTGGTGGTGACAGTGACCAGACAGACCCAAGACACTGCCTCCTCTCCTCAAGGCCATATCCCTTCAAGATGTTAAAAAACAGGATAACAGAAAGAACCCTCATCTTGGTAATGGAAGAAATGCAGTACTTCATCATTTTGCACACTGGTGGCTGCCGGCAGCCCTGACAGCAGGCATACAGATGTTTTATAATGGCCTGTTAAGGAAACAACAGACAATGTTGCATGGTTTTCCTGTTGTTGCTTACAACAGCTTAATGGATGCAGTAAGACTGACTTGAACAACCTTCTGGCTTCATTAGCGTACCATCCAGTTTAATGATTAACATTAATACAACGTTACTGAAGTTGGGCATTAGGAGAACATTCTTCACTGAGAGGGTTGTCAGGCTACTGGAACAAGCTCCCCAGGATCATAGCCCCAAACCTTGTCACCTTGTCAAGAGCTCAAGGACCATCTCCATGCTACTCTTAAGTCATATGATTTAGTTTTAGGTAGTCCTGCAAGGAGCAGGGAGTTGGATTCAGTGATCCTTATGGATCCCTTCCAACATGAGATATTCTACGCTTCCATTAATGCTGCAAAGTCAAATTGTTCAGTGCTAAAAACCAGCAAACATAAGTCTGCCTGCCCCACTCCGCTTCAACCTTCTGCACATCCCTAAATTACAGAGATTACCCAGAAATCTTTTCCCATGGATTCTTTGCCTTTCTCTGTGATTAGATGGTGAAGCGCTGCTGATGAGTAAGCATTTTGTTTCTCCTCCACTGCTCACTGTCTGGCTTCAAGCTTTATTTGCTGTGCACTACTTTGGAGAGAGTGAAAATTGATTCTTCATGGGGTTTCCTACGGTGTTCAGCTCTGTAACATGTGGGCATTTCATAAGCACTAAATAAATGCAGTTTTCACACTATTCCATTAGGCTGAAGGGTTGGTGATGTCTTACCTGATAAACAGGGAATGGAAACAGCGCAACTCAGAAATTCTGGATGCCACTTCTCACCGATGTTGGCTAACGCTTTCAATGTGCAATGCTTCTCTATGATGAGTTGAGAACACAGCTTATTGCATGAGTTTCCATACCAGTTTCTAGTTTACTTTGAAACAAAGCCAATGGGGTTTTAAGTTTCCCTTCCAACGAGACAGCACAAAGTTTATCTGGAAAACTCTGGGGATGTTTTTTCTGAAGCATTTCACAGCATTTCATATTCTTAAGAGAGTCAATCAGATAAATAGCCAGCTAATTAGCCAAATAGCCATGCTATTACTGTATAGCAAATGCAGACCTGGGTATGAGAAACATGAAGCTTAAGCTGGCTCACAGGCTGCTTCTCAAAGTCCTTTATCGCAGAAAGAAAAGTTCCTGGTAACTGTAACATGAGCAATGGAACAGTCAAGTTCTAGCTCCACTATATGGGGCACAATGGGAAAACAGCAACTCAGGCTAAATTCTGCAGCATAATGCTGTCAAACATTATGGACAGAAGTGTTTTGATGTGTAAATATTATGTGTGGTTTCTACTAAGTATTGCAGGAAGCTGGTAATGATCTTCTTAATACAGTGCCTCTAAGCAGTAACCTGGGAATGTTGCTGTTTGCTAAATCTAAGACTTGAGAGAGGAAAAATTTCACCACTGCTCATGTTCTCATCTCTCTGCTGTTTCAGATATTCACCTGGTGTACCATGCAGTCTGTAATGGGGGTCACCAGCTCTTTTCTTCATGACAGGTAAACAAGACAGATCAAGCTGAATATTTAAAAGAGTGCATTCAGCTTGGTACAGAAAGCGTTTCAACAAGAGTAAAGCATTTTAACCACACAGATGGGATGCTGGAAAGACAGCTGCCATTTGTCCCCTCTCCTCCTGTAGCAAACATTTTTAGAAGATTTCTTAACTATTGTTTACTTTGACCTCAAAGGGTCCTTTTCAACTTGGTTAACTGCCAAACCTAAGACTTAAGAAGAAGGGAAGGAGAATGCCTTAAGAAAACAGTAAGAGAGGACTGCTGGTGGAAGAAAGGTTGCCTGGCTCTGCCTAAAAACACAGTCACAGGTCAGAGACTCTGCCTCTGGGAAGAGTCTTCGTGTTGATGTACAAGCACAACATGTTGCTCCTAATGGAGCTCCTTCTCCCGCAATGCAGATAATCAAAACTGGATGCAATACATGAAATGGCACGTCCCAAAAAAGGATACTGAAACTTCCTCAGCCTCACCTTGACTAACCATTTTCAAATCAGATCATATATGGGGATTTCCCCAAGGGAGTCTTGCACAGCTTGTATGTGATGACTTATTGATCAGCCAATGCACTCTGACCCTTCCCTGCCTCACTTACATCCAACCAAAACCCTCCAAGCTGCCTGAGCCTGATCTGGCAGTTCATATATTCTATTTTTGCTTTTTACCACCCTTAGGGAAAGACTGTTCCCTAAAGGCAGAACAACTCTTCCGAACTGATGCTGGCCTCAACCCAGAGTCATCAGCTTGTTTCCTCAGCTTGCTCCCACCCCTATCCCCACCCATAACTGGTTTCAAGCTCCTTGCCTCAAGCATCTCCTTATTTAAGCTCCCCCAGCCCCTTAATTCCCCTTCAACAGTCTCCAGTCCTAGCCTTTTATCTGATAACTCTTCTACCCTTTTAGTGTAGGTCACTTGTGTTATTTTGCACTCACCAGTGCTCTCACACAGAAAGTGTGAATTCAACCATCCTAACACTCATTTATGGCCTGCTAGCTCTCTGCTTTTCTAAGCACACAAGCTCCTAGTAGGTGCTATGTCTGAAATGTCAACAGGGAAATGCAACAGAGTGATCTTAAACTTGTAAAAGGATATGCCAGATACAGCTGTAATTGGTTTAATAAAATCATACCAAGATAGTAAAAAGTGATATTAATTTCTGAACTTAGGGTAAGTACAGTACTGCTCTGAATATTGTTGATTTTCTGTGCCAGAATTGACTTCACCCTTTTAAATACTCTGCTGAT